AAACAACAGGTCTTCGTGACTATGGGGCTTTCCACGTCAGCTTTTCATCACACGAAAGTGTAAAAAAAGCTGATCTTGCGCGCCTCATGACAAGTAAGCTGAGCTATAAAAGGGGGCCAGCATAAAGAAGAAGTTATGGGCAGTCCAAGAAGGGAAACAGAGTCTGTGGAACACAGTTGAATGGAATCTAAGTTAAGTTCCCATTTGTCTGCTGGTACTGTTTGTATCTGAATGTTAAGCACATTGTTTCTATCTTGATAAAACACATTTGAGCCATCTAAATTGCAGAAGTCTTTTCCAGGTTAAAACAACCGAAGAACTTNTTACCTCCCTTGTCCAACTTAAAAGGGTGACGCGGACAAAATTTCACATTTCGATCTCACAAAATTGTGTAATGCAAAAGGGGATCACTACGTAAATGTGGCTTCGATATATATAACAGTTCGTTTTTTTTGGTTAGAACAGGATAAGATTCAGTCAGTATATGAAATTGCCTATGTGTACACCGCTCCATTGCAACGATACTCATTTCCGCTTCATATCATGTGGTCGAACCTGGACGTCACATTCTTTTTTTTCGGTTCCTTCCCTCTCATTCTTGCAAGGTGTTATGCATTGTTCTTGAATCGGATGTTCGATCGGATGTATCACCTACTCATCGACGTTCCAATCGAAGTCGGCGCGGTTCAGAACAGGATGAGTTAACTAGTTGCACCGGGACCGGTATCTCGAGTCATGTGAGTGCGAATGCGCAGAGTTCGACTGAGACCAACCTGTTCGTGAATTACATGTCACGTATTCATCGGGATGAGGTGAGCAATTGTGTATTTGTATCCTCTTACTTCACTCGGTCACCACGAGTCTCCGTCATCCGCGTCCAATAATAACGCCTTAGTATTCAATACGATTCGGTTCGTGCTGTCTTCTTGCGCTTCGTCGTATCTTAGTGTGAGGGTTTAGTTCAGAATCCATTAAGTAATTAATCGCTGCCTACATAGATTTGTCAAAAGAAACAATCGATGGAATGGCGGAACTTACTTTGAACCTTACTCTAATATCCCCTGCTAGCGATCAAGCAACTCCATGGACACTCGGATCATCGCCATCCATGCTCAATGATCGGATGACAGGTTGGTGCCGATTGTCACCCAATGGCGAGGATTGGAAATTGGCCGTTCCAGGTTTTTATCAGTGGCTTTGATAAGTTTATGATTAGATTGTAAGTGTGTTACTAACCGGTTGTCCAAGTCGGAGTGTTTTCTTAAGGGGCTCTATCCGGAACCTTTGGTTAAAGAACCTAACCCACAAAACTTCTGCAGTTTTATTTCAACCATGATTTACTTTGGTAACGTATCCGTAAAGATTGGTATATATATCTCGGTGTGGATCTGCGTTTCCAGAAAGGAATTAGCTATGCGAGATGGAATGCCATCCGTTGCAGACTACAAACATCACTTGTACCTTTTCCATTGTCTGTTGTTATCTTCTGAGTTTCTCAAAGTCAGAGTTAGCTGCAGTTCCCTTGCAAAGTAGAGTAGTGACATGAACCCGCATAGTCAACGGAAACTTCTCGGGATTAACTATANTCATATCCATTGATGTTTACATCACTCTGGTTATAGAACCTTGCTCGCTTTAGTTGTGGACAACGAGATACGTCAACTTTTCCTAAGGGTTTTAACCGGCTGTTCGTGCATCATCTGTTGACCGTCAAGGGGTTAGACGTCCAGGGTGCCCATTATACCTCGATGCCCAGTCGAACCGATGGCCGCTGCCACAGCCGGGAAGAAATGTGCGTGTGGTTCTTACGCCTCTTCTTGGTTGGTTTGGAATCAGGGTTTTTGGCCAACTCCTCTGGGTGAACTACCAGTGGTCCACCAACCCGGTTATAGCTCCAGATGTCGGCTTTTCGTCCTCTCACTTTGATGCGAAGACACCTCCGCTACGAGTAGGCAGTGAGCAGGGCTTACTCAGCAGAGGCTATTTGAGATGCTTGGTGGTATGGAGCATTTCGCGAGGCGCAATAGATGGGTGACCAGCCGCAACCCTAGACACCCACCCCCGACCATACTGAGGATTTGAGAGACTAGATGGCTGATTAAAAAATAAATTGAAAAACCTAACTTTCTTGAAAAGCTGTGGGTAAAACCCCAATTATTTGTCTGTAATTAGCCCATGTTGATGTGCTCCCAACAGGGTCATCAGTTTTCGCCGTGGTGTATTCTTAATTTGGTGCAATAAACTGTTCCATTGACAATGGGTTCTGAGTAGATCTGTTAGAAGGACGTTTCATCTAACCCATGGAACGTTTTGGGTCTGGTTACTTTGCCCCACGTCGATTCCTACTCAGCGAATGCCCTAACTGCAACACCGTCAGTTGTTCGCCTGTTAGTAGCGTTTTCATTTTTCTTTTGATATGTACATTTCAATTTTGTTCATCTGGTCTATGAAACTTTTAAAACTGTTGTTCCGATGCATAGCGGTTCAACTCAAGTTGAACCGCTATGTCTCTGTTAATTCTGTCATCAGCTACGGAACTAGCACAAGCTCACTTCCACCGACTGATTCACGTGAGTTTTCTACCGTCTGCGAAAACGTTTGCACACTGATTTAATATTGGACCGCGTTGCATTGTGCTCTAAACCGGTCGAAATACGAACATTTCGGGTCGTAGATTGATATCTCATGCGAACCAAGTGGAAACCGTTTTGCATGATGGTCACCCCTGTCTTACCAATGAATAAATTAATACCTTATCATCAAGGGAATAGGTCGTCAAATGTCTCCTTTATTTATGTATTTATTTATGTTGTTCGTTAGTTTTCCTGAATCCTAATATGCACTCACGTACTCACTTATGCAATCGTCTCTACTTTCTTGGTAAGTTACAAACCGAATTCCTGAAATTCAGTGAACAATGGCGTTTTGAGCACCACGTTACTAGCCCCTATCATAGTCATTCCAATGGCAAAGCAGAGAGCGCAGTCAANCAACATGGGAACCAGCCCAAGCCAACGTTTATTTGGCAGACGCACACGCAGGGTTCTACCCATTTGCGACCAGTTACTACAGCCACAGACTACGCCATCAATAATCATAAAGTCAAGGCTAAGGAAGCGCATGGCGCTACAGAAGAGGTATTACGACTGCGGCAGTAAACCTCTGTGCTCACTCAGATCAGGAGACACGGTTTGGATACAACCACTGGAGCCAACGGAGAAGGTGTGGGCGAAGGGAGAAGGGATAGTGCGAGCAACAAAAAAATCGTACCTAGTACGCTGTGGTCAACGGATAATACGGAGAAATCGAGTTCATTTGAGGAAAGAGGAAGAGAATGGTGACGAAGATGAACAAAGAGACGATCCAAATACCATTCAGGAGGATGTAGAAATCTGTGTACAAGATCTGCAGCATGGAATACCAACGATGGATATGACAGCACAATCTCCATCCCGAACACGAAGTGGAAGAATATACCAATCAGGATCACAATGAAAAACATTCAACAGAAGAAGGATATGTTTTAAAGTCTTGTTTGAATTGATCGTTTGTTTTACTGCATTTTTATGTTTGGTCCGCAGAAGACTTTAATTTTGCCCGTCGA